TATATATATATATATATATATATATATATTTTCTCTTTTACATATTTCGATCATTTTGTCTCTTTTTCACGCGTGCTATATATATTTTATCTTTTTTTATTTTTCATATATTTATTTATTTATTTATTTTTCTTTGCTATTCTTTTTCCAAATATATTTTATTTTTATTTTCTTTTTTCTGCTTTTTAATCTAATCTTCGTTTTTTTGTGTAAATCGTTGAGAAAGAAAAAAGAAAAAAGAACTGTCTTTAAGTTGAACAAAAAAAAAATAAAATAAAAATAAATGTCCCTTTTACAAATCTGTGATAGGCGGCGGCACGCCCTTACTGATGTGAAATGGAAGAAAAAATATGTGCGAATCGGAGGAGGGTGGGACGATAGGAGCAATTAGTATTTCTTATTTCGAGGCTAATCTTACTTGCGTTGGATTTTGCCAGGTCACGAAAGTCACAGCGAGAAAAAGAGACAGAGATATATAAAAATAAAAAGAGAGAAAATAAATATAAAAGTAGTAAGTAAACGTCGGTGAAATGAGAAAAAGAAAAAGAAGAAGAAGAAGAAGAAGAAGAAGAAGAAGAAGAGATGGAAGGTGGATAATAAAAGTACAAGGAAGACAGAAGAGAAAGAGAAGAAAAAAAAGATAGATAAAAGGTTGTGTGGAAGACAGATGGAAAGAGAGAAAGAGAAAGAAAATCTCAAACTGTCCAACGTATATATCGTTGCCACGTGAATTGACCGGCCAGATAAAAGCATACGAAAGAGGACGGAGAAGAAGGTAAAAGAGAGAATGAAAGAGTGAAAGAGAGAAAGAGAGAGAAATATAGAGAGAAAGGGAAAAAAAGTGAGAGAATAGTATGGACCGACACAGAAGCCGACGCTGCTAATGACTCTGTCCGCGGTAATCTCTGGGTGTTATCTGTCCTGGCTACCTGGGGCCCACCTACTTTGAATCACGAACCTGTACGAACCACGCTACTACTCTCTCTCTTCTTTCTCTTTTTCTTTCTGTCTCTTTCTGTCTTATTCCCGATCGGTTGTTTCTCTTAGTACAGAAGTCCTTCTTTCTCTCTCATTTCTTCTTCTTCTTCTTCTTCTTCTTCTTCTTCTTCTTCTTCTTCTCTTCGTCTTCTTCTCTCTTTGAGAAAAGGTTCACCAACGTGGGAACCGGCTAAAGATCATGGAAAATGAACTGTTCTCTTTCGAATCGATTTCGAATGATCGATGATCCTAACGTTTTGTAATACTTCAGATTGTGTTACAATGATTTTACAATTAATTCTTGTTCAATACTTTCATTATTTTTTTTTTAACACTGGCTATTATTGCGATTAGTAAATTCAATTAAGAAATGCATATTTTTTCTATCATTTTTTTCAAATTCAACTGTGAACAATTTATTTTTCTATCCGAAACAAGTTGGTATATAACAATGGTACCCAAAGTGGGCGATGAAGCAGTCCAGGGGACGATGACAAGATCATCCACAGGTAAAAACTGGAATTTTAAGTGTTCGGGTGTGCAATTAAAAAAAAAAAAGGCACGAGTGCAATAAAATCACAAAATGAAGAAATGAAGAAAATAATTTTGAAGGGGGTGATAAGCAATATTTTTTCAGGAAAGGGGGCAACAGGACAAAAAAGTTTGAGAACCACCGGTGTACACTGGTATAATAAGAGTGAACGTAAAACTGTTTCAGTAACTTTTTAAGAGATAAACGAAACACTATACGGTTTTATTGTGTACACCCTATATTGTCCTGATGGACCCCTTACAACTGTGTAGAATTTCGAAAAAATAGATGTCTTGTCAAGTTGACTGTTCTCTCCCATGGTAAGATTTGGATCGATGAAGATTTATAGCTAGAGTTCGAAACTCATAGGAATAGAGGAAATATTGTGGTGTACTTTGATAGCACGTAATGTAACACATACACACAACATACATATACGCGATTGCTTTATTATTTATTCACTTCGCCATTAAGCACCTTAAGCTTATTGATCTTCTATTATCTAAGTTCTTGTCTTAGATATCTATTTATCTATCTATTTCTCTATCCATTTTCTTAGTATATTCACACGTCGATTAAATTAACTAAACGATCCGCAAATGCATATGTGGCTAATATTTGCGAGTGGAAAAATTTATTTAACTAAATATTTATTGCATGACGTAGTAGCTTGTTTTTATTTTATTTTTTTTTTATTTTATTCTTCTTCTTCTTAATTTGTTTGCATGAACGAAAAAAGAAAAGGATTAAACCATTATTTCAATATTTTCTATCATTAATATTATTCCATTATTTTTTTTTTTTTTTATTACTTATCAAAGTACTTTTGTTGGATTTTCTTTCAATTTATTTATTTTTTTTTTTATACAATCGAACGTCGATTATATAATTTATCTCTATAGAATAACGTAATCAATCAAATATTGTTTCTTACAAATAATAATTCCTTTATTGATTTGAAAACAATTTCGATTAATTAATTAATACAATATATCGATATGCAATACGTACATATATATATATGTATCCTTTTCGATAACAAACAAAAATGTATTATCAAAAATGAATGTTTACATTTAATAACAATAATTAAGAACAAATAATTCTTGAAAATGAATTAAACGAATTAATGAATGAAACAATTAACAAATCGACGTTCTATTGTTAATTAAAAAAAAATAAAATAAAATAATTTCAAATAAAATACTTTTCAAAGTATAATATTATTGACATTTGATAGTAATATGATTTTATTCGTTCTATTATATAATGGTATAAAAAATAGTCTGTCCCAATGTATGCTCCCTTTCTTTTTATTCCAGACGATATTGAATTCTATGCACAAATACCAACCAAGGTTTCATCTAGTACGAGCCAATGACATCTTGAAGCTTCCCTACTCGACGTTCAGGAGTTATGTTTTCAAGGAGACAGAATTCATTGCCGTGACGGCATATCAAAACGAGAAGGTGAGTGAACCCCGGTTTCCTTTTCTCGTTTATTCGAGAGAGAGAGAGAGAAAGAGAGAGAGAGAGAGAGAGAGAGAGAGAGAGAGAGAGAGANAGAGAGAGAGAGAGAGAGAGAGAGAGAGAGAGAGAGAGAGGTCATCGACTGATTAGAAAATTCTAACTCTCCCTTCTTTACGATACTTTACAATTAAGTATTGTAAACGTGTTTTTTTTCTTTTTTAACAAAAAAATTTCTAATCAACTTATTCTTTTGTTAATAATTCAAAATTTACAATATTATATTTTACGCAAAAATTAATTTAATATATATGATAATTTTATTATTAGTATGTTTATACTTAATAATACTTATAAATAATAAATAATTCTTATTTAATATTTAGTTTATGTTTAATATTTTTATACTTATATTATATATATCCATATTTTTTATTTATAATATCTCTTTTTGTTTTTTTTTTTTTTTTATACGTATAGTATTTGAATATACTATTATCAATGAGTATTCGATATTTATTAATTTATTAACATTTTAATATATATTTTTTCTCTCTTGTCTCATCATGCCAATTTGTCATTTGGTATTTACTTGAAAAATAAATGCTCTCGCTGTCTATTTCATTTGGTTTGGTATAAGTTCGATTCATAAAATCTGCAATAGCGATATTATCGTTTGGATTCGAGTTATTAAAAATGTACATTACGTTTTGTTTCTTAATTGATTTATTCTCTTGGGGGGTTTTCCTATCGATTGACACGATCATTTATTATTCATTATTTCATTAATCGTAAGATTTAAACAAATATCCTAAATGTTTCTTTTTTTTTATAATACTTACGTATTCACCTTTTAATAAATATCAATTAAATATTAGACTTATTGTTTAGTATGAGTATTTCATATTAATATTTTGTCATTATGTTTGTTACAGATAACTCAACTGAAAATCGATAACAACCCGTTTGCTAAAGGATTCCGAGACACTGGTGCGGGTAAACGAGAAAAAAAGTGAGTATCGCTTTCAAAATTTTTCCCCCGTTCTATTTCATAATTAATTATAATATTTTATCAAATTATAATTTAACCCTTTGCACTTGGCACCGTTTCGTATGTTACCTATCAGCAACTCGACGAAGCCACTTTTTCGCCAAAACGTTACACCCTGGAAACGTGTTTCTCAAAAAATTGCAGTGGAACAAGTTCATTCTTCGTAATCGATAATAAACTTTCATGTCCCCTCAGAGGGGACAACCGAGAGCAAAGGGTTAATAATACGTGTCTAAACTAGACATAATGAAAATACCGTATAATATACAATAGTTCATTAAAAACATATTTTTAATATAATTATTTCGTTGATATTTTCATTATAAAAATTAAATAGACATAATTGTGTGTGTGTGTGTGTGTCGAATGAAAAAAAAAAAGTTTTTTGTTGGAAATTCATTCGGTTTTTCTTACCCGACAGTTTTTTTTCTTTTTTTTTTTGGTTCACCCAACGTGAGACAATTTTTGTGGACTCTCTATCTTAGCTTTTTTTTTTCTTCTTCTTTTTTTGTTGGCAACGTTGAAAAAGAAGCAAGTAATACAACCGATGATGACGAGAGGTCCGCGTCTCGACCTAATTGATCGTGGACCTTTTTGGCTTCCCCTCGATCAGTACTATTATCCCGACCTTAGGGTCACCCTCGGAGCTAAGGGTTGCTTTCACGGGCCTCATTTGCACCCTGTATAGCCTGGCAGAAGCGTCCATTTGTATTCAATATTGCGGCTTTATGAGCTTATGACAGTGAGACCACCCCCTGAGGGATGTTACTGAGAAGGATAAACGAACAAAGAGAGAGAGAGAGAGAGAGAGAGAAATAGTTTTGGTTTGCTCGCCTTGCCACCAAAGGCCCATTTCAATTTTCATCTCGGTAACACAGGGGTGAAAATTCAAGTGGATTTTGATGAAGTTAACTTTCCTATGCATACGATTCTATGTTAGTTCTAGTACATTATATTTATGTATATATATATAACCCTACGATTAGAAAGTATTACGATGATTGAGATAATATTAATTTGAAGATTAACCTAAACCCTAATTTCAAATGATCAGTCATGGAATTAGTGACTTTAGAGGACTTCAAACTTGAACCACAATAGTAAGAGAGAGAATCTTTAGAAGAAAGTTGAAAAAGTTGAACTTAACCAGAATCTATGGGAAAAAGTGCAACTCTTGTTCTCTTTCTTTCTCTCTCTCACTCTCTTTCTCTTTTTGTCGGTCTCTTTTTGACACTGAAGAAAAAGAGAAAATTTCTCATGGAAAATGAGGAGAGAAGCAGGTTGCTGCTGCTGCTGCTGCTAAAACTCGAACGGATAAAGAAAGGGCGAGGTTAATCGAGAAAATATGCAAAGTAGGGGGCGCGTCGTGGCAACGGCTAATTAGAATAAGGGTTAGTTTTGGCTTATGGTTTCGGTTAAGAGTGGTTGGATGCCATCGGGAAACCACAGAGGAAGCTGGGGATGCTGTGAACATGAAAACGAGAGAAAGAGAGAGAGAGAGAGACAGATGTATTAAAAGAAGAAGCTTCAGGGACAGAAAGAGGATGAAGAGGGGAAGGGAGGGAATGGACAGAGATGAACCGCAAAACAGAGTTAGTTAGAGAGAGAGAGAGAGATAGAAAGTTCGGGGTTGGAACATAGCCAATCATCGGATTAGCATACTGATGCTCAGGGGCGGCGCTGTCGTTAATGTGGAGGGTGCCACTTGGTGGCTTTGAATTTTATATCCTCGCTGCAGGTCGTAACGCTGGATACAAAGAACGTCTTCGCGAAGGGTAGTAGTAAACTAGGAGAACTGCTGCTGTGGTTTTGTGCCGTTACTCGTCAATCGTTTTCCCGAACACGTACGACGGTGGGAGACCCTCAAGTTTACTTCCAACTTCGAGAACTACGTGAGAAGACCATTCTTCCTTTTTTCCTTCAACGAGACCTAATGATAATGAGCCTTTACCATTTTGTTAGATTTACAGAATTATTCGAAACGTTTGTTAAATATTTTATTCTTATAGGAATACATTTTTGGTTTCATTTGATATTTAGGAATCTTCATCCGTCATGGAACGTAATAAGACGCGGTTAGTTTCATCAAGCGTGTCTGTGTGTGTGTGTGTTCTTCTTAATCTCTTTCTTTTAAAGTCAAGAATATGAATTCGTTAAGTTGTTAAGTATGACGAAGTCAGTTTGTTGTTGTGTGTCGCGTCAGAAGTAGTAGGCAGGTGTGGTTTAAACCTGTAACGAGTCGATTCGATGCGCCTCTTAAAAAGTGAACGTCTTGTTTTCTTCGATGCGAAACACACTTTTTTACCTTTGATTTATTATTACCATGTCCAACCTAATATAACCGTAACGACTATTATTACTTGATGAAAATTAATAACGAAATGATAGAGATTTTTAATTTAATTATTTAAGTTTCGAGGGAAACTGGAGTTAAAATTTCATCTGAAAAAAGAACATTCCCTTTACTTCCTATACTTATTTCTTTTCATCACTATTTCTAAAGTCACTAGACCACGAATAAAACACACGCGCGCGTTCTTTCGTAGAGAAAAAGAACGGGAAAACGTTGCGTAATTTAAAATTCAAGGTACCACTACTACGGGACTTCGATAGTAGTAGCAGCAGCAAAAGGATAAGGGGGGGGGGTAGGAGGTAGGAAAGTAGGAGAGAAAAGGGAAAGAGAGAAATTCACGGTTGTGGCCTTTCTCCACCCACGCGACATCGCCTAATCCAAGGTTGACTGTAGGGTCCCTGGGATCACTTTGAGTCGCTTCCGATCTCTCTATTCTCTACTTTTGTCGGGGTTAAAACGAGTACGGGAGTGTGTTAGCCATCTCTCTCTCCTCCCCCACCAAGGGTTCATCACAGTGCAAACGAGAAGGGGTGGGAGGGAAGGTTGAACCTAAAGTAGTAGGGGTTATGGACGGGGGTGGTAGACTCACCGATGGGGTGATTATAATTCCGTGCAAAGAGACGAGACAAGGATGATGCAAAAGAACAGAGAAAATGTGAGAGAGAGAGAAAGAGAGAGAAGATGATGATGATGATACTAACAGCTCGAATCGAACGAGAGAGAGAGAGTCCTGTCAAAGGCAACGCCAAGCTGAGTTTTCATTTTGTCTGACGGGAAAGAACGAGCTCGAGTACTTCTTGGGAAAAGAATGAAGAGGAGAGATGGCATCAACATCTCGTTGATGTAGGCGGGATCAACTTAGGGGTCATAATATCATTATCACCACGTTATATCGGAAATTATAAAAAAAGGTCATCATTATTATTGTTATAACGTATCGCTATCTCAAAACCAGTTTCAACAATTTTTGTCATCCGTTTTCTTCATTAAAATAACAAGAATTGTGATATATATCCGCTATTACAAGAGATTTACGACAAATTAGAGACTAATAAAGATATTTCTTGGAACAAATTTTGATGAAATGGGCAAAGTGTTAATAATACAATTGTTTAGCTGAAAAATAAATAATTTTAGCTAAGAATAATGATTTTTCTATAGAGGGGACAAAAAAACGTGAAGTAATGTTAAGGGATTTACTTATCGGTGGATTCTATCCTGTTTACATGTCTCACTATTGATTTATCACACGTACGTCTGAAACCAAAGAGTGTGCACACAACTGTCTCGGTTGCATCTGGCTCGTGTAATGAATACACGTGAATACACACCACCCATACATACATGGACGAATAGATATGTGCATTTGTTCACTGATCGCATTACACGGCATTAGGGTATCGTTAAGCCTCTCGTTGTGCCCAGTCTGTGTTAGTCTTCTATCTGGGACTTACAACGAAGATTAAATTTGTCCAAACTATTACAGAAAATGCATTGTGTTTAATTTTCATCGCACAAACATATTAACTCTACAATCTTAGCCAATTAATGGTATTTGTTTCGTTATTAATTTAGATGAACTATTTTCTAGCGATTTAGGGTAGGTGGCATAATAAAATTCTTTTGTTAAAAAAATTTGAGAAGTTTTGGAAGAAGAAAATTTTGAAGTTATCCTTAAAGATGGAGAAAAATTGTGAAACAGAATGACACCTACATATAATTTAATAAATATATACAAATAACAAAAAAACTTTAAATGCGTTGCACGAAACTTTCGTAAGTTTGATGAAAAGAATATATTTTTGTATACTCATTAGACGTATCACAAATAAATATTTAATTTATTTAAAAATAAATCAATACAATAAAAATTAATCACAATTAGTTATTTATTGTCACATTTTTCTTCCAATGATTTCTGATGAACGGATTAGATCGATTCACGAAGGCAAAAGTAACTCGAACACTTTGAAGGCTATCTCTCTTTCTCAGCTCTGGGCCAAGGTCGCTTTTGTTCTCTTTTCAAAAAAAAAAAAAAAAAAAAAAAGAGAAAAAAACCATCATTCTCGTTCAATCGATCATTCTTTACTATCTCTTCTATATCTCGTGATAGAAATTCTCTATCATTCTCTCACCACTCTCTCTGTGTGTAATGTTCTCACCTCATTCCCTTCTAATACCAGGTATTAGTCTGTACAACAAATCTTATTAGGTAACAGTAAGGTATCATCGATCTATCGAAACATACCTCAACGATACTTCTTTCCATTTTAACACATGAATCTCTTTCTATATATATATATATATATCTATATATTTTTATACTTCGTTAATTATTCTAAAATGTTTCATTATTTTTTTCTTAATTTCTACGACATGAAGTTCTAATCGATCTAAACGAGCTGGGATCTAATCGTCTTAGGTGTAGAATAATTGTCGTGATTGGTTACGACACACACATGCACACAGTCGACTATTTGTAATTTCAAAGGTTTGAAACATGTGTTTGTATCAATTCATAGCAAGTCTAATTAGAGATGGATCGAGAGAGAGGAGGTGAGAAGTGTTTGCGAGTTAGGAAACTATATTAAATCGTTAGAAATCAGAGAGAGAGAGAGAGAGAGAGAGAGAGATAGTAGTTTACTCTCTGATTGGCGAAACTAGACAACGAGACTAATTTCGTGTCAACCTTTGACAACTATCAATGATCAGGTTCTCTCCCCCCTCTGCATTTAACATAGAAAACGGAATTAGAAAGTAAATATAGACAAAAATAAAATAAACGATTAATATAATAAATAGAACTTTCTCTCGAGTCAAATGAATTCTTTTGCAGCAAAAACAAAAAATGAGAATTTGTTTTAAATTCTTGTTTTTTTTTTTTTTTTTTAATAATTTAACACTCTCGCATATATCATTTGTTGATATTGCAATTGTCAATGTTACGAGTAATATGGTACAAATAATCGATTTGGTCTTTAGAACAATGCTAACAACACTTGTCCAAACATTTCTCTATCTAATTCAATATTTCTAATTCAATAATGGTAACTCGTTTTAGAATCGATCGAGTTTTGATGAGATTTATTTACAAGGTGCGATAATACGTATATATATGTATATATGAACATAATCTTTTTAGAAATGGTTTTAGAATTTGATTTAATAAAAATGATCTTTCAAATAAAAATTACATTAGATAATTTAATATCTACGAAAGGAAAATTGAAATTGATTTTTTTGTCTCGCTCTTCTGATCGATCGATCGATCAGATCTCTGAAACAAAACTATACCAACTCTTAAATGGAATTTTCTAACGTGTTTACGACGAACAATCTAACTTTTCTAAGAATTAGAACAAACTCACACGCATGATTTGTAAAACGATCGCGCAACGGTTTCGCAGTTAACAGAAGTCCACGCCACACCACACCACACCACACACCACACCACACCACACCACGGACCATGGGAAATTTATTATACCTCACTTGCACCGACTATAATTCATGCCACAAGAGAGAAAGAGATACTAGTTTTCTATATAAGCGATAGTTTCCCAGCCAACAGTGATACTAACTCACAATCATACTTATAGAATCGAGCCTTCCAATTCCTTTCCACCGAACGTTACGTGTTTTCAACATAGAAAGAGATACAAACTGTTCTATAGGGTGGCCCATATAACCTCTCCCAAATCACATTTTTTCCAACAGCAAATTATCATTGTAAATATAATATAAACCTTTATTAATATGAACTATTAATAAAACATTGACGTAAGCATTTATTAATATGCACACACAAAATATTTAATTTTATTTAAATTTTTACATATATTTATTTTGAAAGAATTGAAAATTATTTAGTCGACGTTTATAATTTTGATATATACCATCTTATATGTATTATTGTTTATTTAATCCAAACATTTAATAATATGCATACAAAAAACAATATTTAATTTTATTCAAATCTGTACATATATTTATTTTTGAAAAATTGCAAATTATTTAGTGGACGTTTTTGTAACGCTTTATATAGACCACCTTATATGTATACATGTCCACGAAGAGAGAGAAAGATAGATAGATAAATAGTAGCTTAGAAAAGACTATCTATGTATTTACACATGCGCGTAACGTACCCGTTTCACGTTTCTACTAGAAGAATTTTCTCTTCATAGACCCGAAGTGAGTTAGACGTGTTCTCGTAGTAGACCGGCCGATCGAACCTTCGACTTCTACTACTCACCATCTTTCTAAATCGTTTCCGCGTATATTAAAGTTAGATTTCGATTCAAGTAAAAGGAACATTTTTTTCATCAGGTTCAGGATTAATATTTTATATATTAATTAGATATTTTCTAATGTAACAACAAATATTGTGTGATAAACATAAAAAAATAAATGTCCGAATGATCGTTATATAAAATAAAAGAAAAGAAAAGAAAAGAAAAAATGTACATATATAATATATGTGTGTGTGCATTAGGATTATTATCGTGAAGAGGACGAGGACGATCTTTTACACTTGGAAAAGGCGTCGAAGGTGCAATTAAGATAATTAATTTAATAGCACAAGAGCGCGTACGCCTCGGGGCGATACGCTTACTCGGCGGCACTTGCATAAATCGCATCATAGAGAGAGAGAGAGAGAGAGTAGAAACATTGAGTTAGACCAACGTGTGTGTGTGTGTTTGTGTGTACGTTAGAAAGACAACCTTTTATAATGCTTCTAACGTGGTAAACGTATCTATGTATGTGGAAGAGAAGAAAGAGTGGGAATGAATTATCGTTGGTGACTCGTCGGTGACTCGTCGGGATCTTTTGATTTCATGCTACGCGGCTCCGCGATTGCAAGGAATTTCTCGGTCGAGGTCGAACGAACCGATAGCAGCAGCACCTTCCGATCGTTTGGAAAATCCGTGTCAAGTCAACCTGTCTCTCTCACTCTTCTTTTTTTTTTCTTTCTTTCTTTTTACATGGGCAATTACGAGAGAGAATAAAAAAGGAAACTAAATTCATCTATTGATTTCGATATCTTAAGCAATAATACAACATTCGAAATATCTTTGTAATCCCAAATAATAATAAGAAATTCGATAAATTATTATAATAGGGTGTGTTTTAAAAAGATTGCTAACTCCATCTCTTTGTTGCAGAAGGCAGGCGCTGTTGACGGTATCGGGAGGCGGTTCTCGTTTGACGTCGGGTGGTCCAGCATCTCCTGAGAAACGGCGATCGTCCAACTCGGCGAACGATTTGTTGGATGACGAGGATAAATTATTGGACGTGGTAGGTCCGGAGACGCCGCATCCGGCTCATCATCATAGAGAACGCGAACAATCTCGGGAAAGGGACGATAGAACGAGCGAGAGAGGAGAAGGTAGCGAATCTTCGGGTTCCGAGAGCGGCGGAGTGTCAGGAGGAGCTGCAGGATCCGAAGGCCCGCGTCCGGACGTTTCGGTGGGCCCACCTTTGCATCCGCCATTACTACCGTACCTCTATCCACCTGTACCAGGATTGTATCCAGGTCCGGGTCCGTTAATACCACCTAGTCCATTGGGTCTACACGGTGGAGTTACCCCAAGTATGTTGTTCAACGCTCAACTGGCATTGGCAGCTTCGCAGCATCCAGCTCTATTTGCTCATTATCCTCATCCATTGGCCAGTCCGTTACATCAATTGAAAGGACATAGATATGCACCGTATACATTACCAGCGCCATCCCATGGATCGGCTTTCGAAACGGTTACACCTGGAAGTAGGAATCTCAGCCCAAGATCCCCACCCCCAAGGCCATCTACGGGTTCTCCAACGCCTACCGGTGGTCCGGCTACGGTATCGGCAAATACCGGTCCAACATTAGGTTCCACCACTTCGGGATCCGCCACCGAATTAAAATCTATCGAGAATATGGTTAACGGTCTTCAAGATAAAAGGAGAAGAAGTCCTAGTTTAACGCCCGGACACCGTGGCGACGGGGAAACCGGCGGCGGAGGGAGTCCGTGACAGGAGAACGAGCCTGTAACCAGCACAAACGACGATCCGGAGGATGATCCCGACTTGGTGGATCCCGATTTGGATCCTGACGACGATGGCTCCCTCGATCTCGACGATCCGTCCGCCGACGAGAGGGAACCTGACTCGACCTCGGAACCCTCGTAGCGAGAGGAATCTCTTCGTCTCTCCGATATACGAAAGATGCTCGAACTTTTTGTCGTCGTTCTTCTCTCGATAATTTTACTCTCACCAAATCGTTAATTGTTGTCTCGTTCTAATCCTCATCCGTTCATCCGTGTGAAGTTGCTTGCGCAAGTGTGAAACGATTCTAATCAAAGCAACAATAACAACAACAACAAAAATAATCTATCAAAACTATTAAGTGCAATTTTCTTTCTCTAATAGAGATGATTGAGAGTAAGGGAGGATGAGAATTTGCAAGAGAAAGAGAAAAAGAAAGAAAAAGTGAGAAGGAACGTTCTCTTCATCGTTTATCCTTTTTCTTAACCTTACTTCTCCTTACTTCCTCTATTTGTTCTCTCTCTCTCTCTCTCTATCCAATCTATTTATCTTTCTTTCTCTTTCTCTCTTTTCCTCTTTCTTTTTCTTTTTTTCTCTGTCTCCCTGTTTTTGTTTTTCGAAAAAACATTTTCGATTTAACGGGAGAAAGGACGATTTGTGAAAATGGCGCCACCGTCGTCATCGTCGTCGTGTATCGATTGGCCGAGCGATCGTGAGAGCTTGCAAGAGGAGAAAGGTGAGGAGGAGGAGGAGGAAAAGGAGGAGGAAGTGGAGGAAGAAGGATAAGAGAGACATTGAGAGAAGGAGAAGATACGATATACGCGGTGAGCTGCTTTCCAGCTTCACAGGAAAAAAAGGCTTTGGAAAGAAATAAAAAAAAAAGGAAAGAGAGTGAATGAGTGTGTGTGTGTGTGTGTGTGCGCGCGCGAATGAAAATGAGAAATGAGTATGAGAAAAAAAAAGAAACAAAAATATGTGAATGAAAGATTGAATAAGAAGATAAATATATCTGTGGAATGCTCGTGAGATTTTGCAATACGAAAAAAAAAGCACATCCTAATTATTATTTGCGAATGTCCCGCGCCCTTTGTACATATGTACCCTAGTGATATTATATATTATATATTATATTATATATATTATATATTATATTTATATATACATATATACATACATATATGTATATATAAATATAAATTACGCCTCTATCCCTTTACTCTGTATTAATTATTATTATTGAATATATTAATTATATGAATGATTAGTAAAAGTGAAAATCGCGCGTTGGAAAATAAAATGAACAAAATGAAGTAAAAAGAAAAAAAAAAACTGAAGAAAAGAAAAGAAAAGAAAAAGAAAAAATGGATCACGACAACACACCCCTACGCCCATCGCCATCGCCATCGCCATCTTTTTGACGTTGATTCGTCAATTTCGTTCGAGGCTTGACACGGTATAGTGTGTATATATAATATATATGATATATCGATTATATCGACGAAAGATACACACGGGCCCGATCGTTCGTAACGATTTACCAATTATAACCAATCATCTCACGTTTTTCCCCCAACACCCTCGCGCAAATCGTCTCTCGATCATTTTATTGTCAAATTTTCTTCGCGTTTCTTTTTTCTTTTCATTCTTCTAATCAACGCGAAATACGAATGTGCGTGTAATTTTTGAAATATTATTATAAATAAACCGGTTAGCGATGGGGGGTGGGTGGGTGGAAGGAGGGAAGAACGGGAGAGAAAATGGATGGTAAACGACGACAACGGACGAGGCTTCCCTCGGTTTGAAAATGCGCAAGAAGAAGGATCGACGAGGATCGACAAGGATCCTAGGAGAGGGATCGTTCTCCTTACGCCTATGTTTTACAAGTTTAAACAAACAAAAAAAAAACTATTATACAAAATAAATGATAACAAAAAAAAAAGCGAATACACATATTCCATACACATAAACATACATACATACATACAGACAACACATACGCGCGCGAGCGATAACAAATAATGGACAACGTTTTTCTCTCTCGAAAACTTTTAATCGTAGACACACCGATCGGATTAGATTCGTCGTGTTATATATTTCGATTTTGTTTTGAGAAAATCCAAATTGATATTTGTTCTAATTTTGTCATTTTTACCATTGCAGAATATATTCTCGGTTTTTTTTTTTTTTTTAATTTTATTTTAATCTGTATCTCTCGTAGTTTCTTTTTTTTTTTGAGTTTTGTTTATTATATTTCATCTTCTAAACTATTTCGAAAATAACGACGAATCCAAGCCCGAAGCTAAGAACTTTGTATAAATAGTAACAATTGATGTAGATAATTATCAAGTATGTAATGATAGGAAATGAAATGTGGGTCAAGAAAGCTTTTTTTCGAAAGAAGCTACTACAAATCGTTATAATAAAAAAAAAAAAAAGAAAAAAAAGAAAAAGAAAGACGGGAGGTAAGATTTAAAAAAAAAAATACAAGGGAAAAAATGGAAGAGAACATCGGATTGAATTGGTCAATTGATAAGAAACGAAAAAATAAACAAAATAGAAAAAAACGAAACGGGGATAGAAGGAATAAGAAATAAGATAATGCAGAAAGAAAATAATTGTTTTTTTTTTTTTTTCTATGACACATCGATGATCGATAAAAGCCAAGGTTAAAAATCATCGATCATTCTGTAATTACGTTAAAAAAAAAAAAAAGGAAAAAAATACCAAGTAAAGATTAGATTTAATTAATGAAATTAAAACGATATCTCTTGGTCTCTCTTCTACATTTTTTCCCACCCCCAGCCCCCCACTTCCCCCACTTTCCCCATACATGAACATACAAATACACAAAAAGAGACATCCAATAATAAATTTTGTTGTTCTTGTGTTCGATCATTTCGTCATATTTTCATTTTCATTTTTATCTTCCGATTTTAAGATTAATAAGAAATAAATAAAAAAAAAAACAAACAAACGTATATTCGTTGCGTGTGCGAGCACCACCACCACCATCACCACCATCGTTGTAAAAGTGTACCTATTTACACATAACCTAACTGTGAAATTCGATTAAATATCATCAGACTTTACAACAAAGTCAAATACATAATAATAATCTATCTCATACAAAAATTGTCTATTTTTAAGGAACAAAAAAAAGATGGCGATTCTCAGAAATTTTTTTGTTTTTGTTTTTCTTCAACAGAACAAAAGTACACGAAAATTTCATTTAAAATCGCGAGAGTAGAAGAGAAAGATGAGAAAAAGAGAGAGAGACAAAGAGAGAGAGAGAGAGAGAGAGAGAACAAAAGTACCTAAATAATTTTAATTTACCAATTTACCCTTTCTCTCTCTTTTTCTCTCTTTCTCTTTCTGTTTATTTCTCTCTCTTTCTCTTTCTCTTCAATGATATGTTTTCTAAAATCAATCGTCGGTACACAACATGACGTGGTTGTATTAAAAAGAAAGAATAAAAAAGAAACATTAATCTGCTTCTCGAAAAATGTATGTGAAAAAGAGAGAGAGAGAGAGAGAGAGAAAGAAATAGAGTTAGAAATGATGTGCGAAAGAATTAAAGAGTGAATGAGTGAGAACGAATAAAAATAAGAAAAAGAAAGAGAGAGAGAGAGAAAAAGTAAATGGAAAATGAAAATGAAAACAAAAAAAAAATGAAAGAAAAGCAATAAATGGGGCCGGTCTTGCGTGGCCAACGAGTCAAAAAAGTGAACTCCTTCTTGCACTCGCAAATTTCTATTACTCATCTCCATTATTTGTATTTGTACATTGTAAAACTTAACCCTTTCGCTACTACGGACCACTATAGTGGTCCCTCCATAAAATACCGCGTATTTTACATACGACGAACATATGCAGTTATAGCACTAAGTCAAATATCATCCCACACACTGGGACATGTAATTTTAGTGTTTTTTGTTTCTTTTGATTTAAAAATCGTTAATATCAACAACAAAATTACTTAAAAATAAAGTGCAATTTCGATGCTGCACGTATTTAACAGCCCGTACAGTAGAAGTAGCACCGCCGGAAAATACACCCGTAGCGAAAGGATTAACCGATCAACAACACGTATCCTCTCCTCCTTCCCTAATTCAACCCTCTTGAAATTTATCTTTCAAAATCTATCATTATTTGTCTCTAATGGTAAGGATAAAGTAACCAAATTGTTCTCGTTTTTTTCTTTTTTTTTTTTTTCAAGATCAACGGGTGAGATTTTAAAATTACCCACATATATAT